TCTCCCCACTCTTTCTCCTCTCTCTCTCTCTCTCTCTCTCTCTCTCTACCTCTCTCTTTTATTTCTTGTTTGTCTGACTCATTTTTGCTTAGAACATGTGAAATAACTATATATATGCACAATACATAGATGTTTCATAGTTAATATAATAAAAATTAACAGAAAAATACTTACTCTACAACAAGGAGAAAACTCTTACCATTATTTTAAAAGAAATTATAAAATGTTTATTCTTGATCTCTTTACTTTAAAATGGACTTAATAGAATTTTTTATTTATGCAAAAAATGAATATAATTTAAAATTACAGGGGCGATAACTTCACAAAACAGAAAATACTGTTTACCAGTTAACAATTAGATCATTGCGTTGTTTGGATATTATTTGTTGTACCGTTATGAAAAGTAGATGTGTGGCTGATGCCCTAAATTATCCACATGCTGAAAGGAGGTCTATAAAATAACAAGTATGTAATTAGGGTTTTACATTCACTATCGCTTTCCTTTGTATGCATTCAGTTTACTTAAATATTATATTTTTATAATTTTGTCCTGTTCAGACATCGTATCTTTGCGTTGAATGTTCTACGCATTACCCGGTATGTCACATTTTCTCATTGCATATGAATATGTTCGTTTGGTGCTTTATTCAAATGCGTACTTTTGATAAACCTACATGAAACCTTTACGTGTTGCATGGTTCTACTCTACTAACCATAGATTTCCACTTAACGTTCTTGAATGGATAGTGTTAAATGATTAACCGTTGGGCCATCAGTGTAATTTGAGTAAATGTTCACCTTATAACAGGCCTCAGCCATGCTTCTGGGAAAATTACAATCATTCCATTAAGCAGTAAAGTCATTCAATAAAAAGAGAGCCATGCAAAATGTGTGCATAAAAATTATTACAAGGTTGCCTCTGTCGCGCCCTCCTCAAGCTATGTAACATCAAAGAGATAAAGTTTGTAAATCGTAAAACATATTTTAAACAAGCATTCCATTCTTAGTCTGAAGGAAGAGTTTAAGTTATGAAAAGGACAAGGGGTGAAGGAGGAGGGGGAGCGAACATGTTATAAATTCGAAATTCCTTGAGAAGCCAACAAAAAATTAATTTATTTATATGACAGGAGCAAAAATAGGGAGACCTATACTGCAGTGCATGATTTGGAGACAAGCCAATCTTATTTACAATAAGTTATCAACCCTGCGCTCAATGTGTAAAATAATAGAGTCATTCATATAATTTTTTTTTAGGCTATTCAACAAATGTTTTGTTCCGAAAATGACATGATATGTTTCTGACAACGATATATATACCTGTCGGAATGTTATTACAAACCATTTTAACTTTATATTATTTCGTGCTTGCTTTCAAACTACCCCCATCTTTTATCAGTTTCTGGATACACCAATGCATTGAATCAAAAGTATTGCATTAAAACTTTTTAACAGAAGAAAAAAAAATCAGAACAAGCACGACCATAAGGAGATGCTATCACTCACTGCATTTAAAATCAAGCTATATCCTTTTTTCCCTATATTTTATGTTCTTCACCCTTATTTAAATTATTACATGAATATTAATAACCCCGCTCCGAAGGAAAGGGAGTATAGTGTTTTACATTATTATGCCCCTAAAACGGACAAAAGTTAAGATTTGAGTAAATGATATTTCAGCCTTCATACATATCTATGAATTCACCATAATAACTTTTTTCCTTCAATACATTGAAGGAAAGTTAAAGTTTGTGACTGAATGACTGTAGGACAGAAAGACAGACGAGACTAAATCAATATTTCCCCGATCTCAGGGGCATACAAAATACTAATAGTGCCCTAGCTACGATTGTGATAGAAATACTGGCAATATACTCCCCTTCCTTGATCACTATAGACATACCTATGTATAACCTGCATTACAATGCATATATATATATATATTCATTATGTAAATAAAGTCCTCATAAGAGTATATTCGGTGAAAAGATTTCTTTTCACTTTTATCCTAAAAACCCTTTTATGTTTTTAAACCTCGTATCAGACAGCAAGAACGCTTAATTTGTTTATAGGAAAGATGTACGTGACCAGAAGGATTTTTCCTATAGGCTAGCAAATAGGGCGGGACCTTACAACCCCGTATAACCCCCTCCCCTCAAAACTCGCCACTATATGTACACATGTACGCTCATACGAATCTCGCATGGTACTTGATTCTAACACAATGTGTTACGATACTTTTTGGTACAGTTCTATATTTTTTGCACACGCACCTTCAAATGTGCTGATATTGCCAATCATACCTAGGAAAAAAATTATGTAAATTAGACAGAAGCTTTTTTCATAAAGCAACATTCGGGTTATTCTATTGGTTATTTATTTATTATTTTTTTTTTTACATGTACATGTAACATGTGTAACTAGAAAGAGGAAAGACGATACTACCGTGATAATGGACTGGTGTCAATTCTTGGTATACCAAACACCTCTTTTTTTTAATCAAATTTTTTGATGTAAAAAGCCTCATTTTGTTAAAGACTATTGACACTAGCAAACGACAAAAGACATCGGTAAAAATTTTGAATTAATCACTTTTTGTGTCCTGATATCGAAGGTCAGATGCATATTGATTTAGTTCTGCGTGTTAGTTTTTCACAAATTTAATCTTCCCTATATTTTTTATGAGAAGAAGTTTGAGAGACTTTATTCAAAGAAAAACAATTACAATTATGGAAGCTACATGTACAATATGGAAGCTTTGCATTTTTTTAATTACATGTATATATGTTTCTCTTTCTTACACTAGTTAGAAAATGATCTTTTTTTTTTTAATAATTACAACTGTGGAAACTTATTTTATTAAATGTGTCAAAACAAATCAAAGAATGTACGTATTCTTGCTCTAATAGTGATAAAACCTCATTAATAGCCTTGTTAGGTTTTCCTTTAATGGGGATAAAACATCTTTTACAGTGTATTATTAATGTACAGTATAGTATAACCTTTTAATTTTCTCATTTAAACTTTAAAGCTTTTAAGAATGAACACTTCATATTACATGTATAAGGCTGCTTGATTTAACACCTATGTATTTGCCTAACAGGAAATCTTCTCTCAAATCCATGCATTTTTTGTATCAAAAAATGACACATGGTCTTTATTCTACAGGGTCATTTTTCTACATGTCTCATGGAGAAAAATGACCTTAAGGCCATAGTTTCTACAAAAGGTGTGTCATTTTGCTACATGTAGATATGTAGATAGCATAGAGGATCAAATTTCTACGTAGAAAAATGATCCTCGGTCAATATTCTACGGCGGTCACTTTTCGTCGTTACACCGGTAATCCTGTAGATTTTTTTTTTTTTGGACGATTAGAATACATCAAGCTAGTGTTTAACATCAAGTTTATTTATGTTATCTCCAAATATTCTGTATTGGCAAGTTTGAATACACTTAATCCATCTGCAATTAAAAATCACCGGTAGATATATACATGCATTTACTGCAAACTTAGAAAGTCCTCTCCTTAAGACCCCCATTTTTTTGCTTACATTTCAGTAGACTGCATATAGGAACCGCTAGATATTAGAGACACATAGTATCGTAGTAGGAAAGGGGCTGAGGGGGTGCAGGGAAAAAATGACAACTTACGTGAAAAAACTTTGACAAGCAAAGAAAGGTAAATCGTTCAAACTCCAAAGTCTATATCGTCGTGGGGGGGGGGGGGGGGGAAAGGCAAAAATTTGGTTCCAGGGATCGACAAAACGCATTTTGCCCGAGAACACAGTCAAAAAAATATTTTGTTATATACCTTCTACCTTTTTTTTTTTGGCGCTGGCTTCCATGTTCGCGATAATATATGAAAAGATATAACTGATCCCACTTACAGTTTGACGTCCAAAAAAAAAAAAGAGCGGTCCAATATCTCACTCAGCGGTCCAACATTGATTTTTTTTGGACGGCTCAGTAAAACATTGGGTATGTTATACTTTTAAAAGAATATATTATATGAGAAACAATTTTCAAAGGTAAAGCAATCCTAATTAATAAGACACCCAAAGGTTAACAGTTTAATACAATATTTTCATGCTCGAGCAAATAGAACATTTTCCGCACATATACAATTTAAAGACGTAAATAAAATAAGATTTTCAACATAGCTTTTATTCGACAATGTACAAATGCTATAAACATACATGAAGCATGAAGGAATATATAATTTATCATCATATATGAATATTTTTAACAACACATATTTCATGTGACTTAACGGGAATCAACATCATCATGAAGGTTTTATCCATGAATAATAACACAAAAAGCAACAACTCACCTGCAAATTTGTTGTAAAGTACATGAGTGTTTTTTAAGATATGCACCGTGTTTTGAAGAAAGTTCGTAAGTTCACAAGAGTTCTCCTGCCCTATTTCGCAACACCCCACACGTTTTTGGACTGAATGTTAAAACTCAAAATGTCCTCTTAAGGGGACGACCATTTTCAAGTCAGATAATTTATTTTCATGCCAGTCAAGGATACATCATTTATTTTCAACATTTTCGAGGACAGTTATTTTATTTTCTTCTTCACTGAAAAAAGTTTTGAAAATTTTAAACAAAGGAAAGAAAGGGAAAACGCCCAAACTCCAAATCCCATTTCGGGGGGGGGGGGGGCTTTAGAATCAAATGCTCATCCCCTAACTGCAAGCAAGAAATCATAATCCCCGGTATGATGTTAAGGGTCGACAGGATAATATTTTACTTTAATAAAATTTCATTTTTTTTTTCTTTATTGTATAGGCATGCATAATTCATATGTAAGCATAAGATTGTCTCATTTCTTAGACAGACGATAAACAATATTTCATCCATTGACATCAGTTCCATACTTTGATTTCATGAGGGTACTACACATGCATACAATGTTTTGTTCAAAAATAAAATTTAAAAAAGAATTGGATTTAAAAAAAAAAAAAAAAAAAAAAAAAAAAGAAAAAAAAAAAAAAAAGAGGAATAGAAAAGTAACTGAAATATACAATATCGACATTGCAGTGTGTTGAATACGTGGACAAGGTTTTAGTCACATGAAATAATTCATAAGAACATATAAAAGGGTAATGATGTCAGAGGGAATGTAAACTGTCCTGGTCCCCATTTATGTCCGAAACCGGAACCGGAACTGTTCGAACGCCATGTTTCTCGTCATAGTTCACATTCAACTTGATTCTCTCATTTGTGTAACTATCTGTAAAAATAAGAAGAGACACAAAACATTCTTTGATTCTAACTGTGGTAATTTTATGTATTATTAACGTATGATTGAATAATTACCAATTGAATGAGATCAAACTGTAGAAATCATGCTAAAGTAATGTTTACTTGCACAAAACCTTCCAGGTGAATATAACTTTTTCTACATTGGACAAAAAATAGATAGAGAACTTCCAAACTGATACAATGAGTCATGCAGGTGAACCTAGCATTTATTTTTTCTATAGTTTGTATCATTTAATCATTGATTCATGTAACAAAACAATTATTGCTGTTTTCCCCCAGTCAATATGAAGCTTTAACAACCCTACAACGTACAATATTAACCTCACCCTTCGAGTTCGGTGAATATTGTAGTCATCAGATATAGCGAATCATCATATTGATCTCAAAACAGCAATAACTGTGTAATATCTTAAGCTATACTAAAGCAAAACTTTTAAAAATCATTGGAAAATTGTATACTTTAAGTTATTGTGCGTAATCTTTCTTAGTCATGAACGTATTTCTAAGGACATAGATATTATAAGATCACTCTCACTGACTTCTCATTTGCCTGAATTTGAAGAACACGCACTTTCGAAATCTCAGAATAAATATTTACTCTTCTTCCTAAGCGAGTGATGCATTCCATTGTAAACTATTTGAAAACAATCTTATCTTAAATTTTGAGATTTCTTTTTAGTTCAGACCATTATTTAGGATATACACTAGCTGTTACATGTAATTATTTTAAACTCAGTTTACTTTTCTTAAGAAGAGGAAATTGTGGACATTTCCTTCATGATTTTTGGATATATATTTTTATGTTGGAATTAGTCAACTTGATAATACGCATAAAAGTTAACAAAGTTAACAGTGTACCAGACAGGTTATAAGCTTGCATGCTTGGGTAGGCTTTCAGAATTCAGATGTATATAGATATATATATATATACGATGTATTCTTAAAATGAGATCGAGGTACATGAAGTTTGATTTTTTTTTCTTTTTTCCACGGAAGGAAGTTTTTATTTGTGTGTTTTTCTTTGTCTGTTTTCTTTTATTGTTTTCCTATTTTATTTGTTTTTGATTTGTTGAAGCTCAATATGTGGAATTTACTTAAGATTTTGAATGAATTTGTTCGTTTCTTAAACAGAAGATTCATGGGAAAAAAGTACCGCATAATTGATTAACTTCTTAGGCGGAGGCGTTCTTGAAGTGCATAAACGAAAATGAAACTTTCTAGTATTGCACTCAGCATTACTTAATTACTTTACCAAAAGTAGAAGATCTTCACTAGAAAAAGAAATAAACATGTCGTGAGTGTTCATGAATAATAGAATTTTTTGCTTTTCGGCACAATAACTTTATAGTTATAGTATCTGAGAAAAGATACAAATTACTAACCATTTGTTTTTTTTTAAGTTCAAATGACAGGAATTTAAAAAATGATTCTGTTTGATTAAAAAAAAAAAGATATATATTTCACTGCCAAATGCTGTATGTATCTATATGTTCTATGCAAAGGTATAGTAAGAGATAAATATTTGGCAAAAAGCACGCCATAAATGACATAGAACAGCAAGCCCTGTAATTCTAGCCATGCTTGTCATTGTTTGATAAGAAAATAGTAACTACAGTATGTGTTACCGAAAAAACTTGATTCTATAAGAAAAAAAAATAAACCGATTGAAAATTGTGGTTGAATTAGTGGCTGAATAGTCAGATACCATTATAGTTATCTTTCTCATTACGTTGTTGATATCTAAGTTACATGTATTTTTGTGACTGATATTTCTCGTCATTACGTCGTTGATATCTATAAGCTACATTGAATGTCATGTATACTTTTGTGACTGATTTTTCTTGTCATTACGTTGTTGATATCTAAATTGCAATATTTGTTTGTGACTGATATTTCTTGTCATCACATTGTTGATATCATAGTTACATGTATTACATGTACCATGCCTGATATATCTTGTAAGTTACAGTGTATTTCTGTTACTGATATCCACACCATCGCCATGTTGATATAAAAGTTATCTCCCTTGTTGATGGAATTGTAATTACTGTTATTGATATACATGTATAAGTAATTACCGTGGTTGTTGGCGGCTAATACTGATGATGAATTAGTGGCGGGTTTTTTGTAGCTGGCGGAATTCATTGTCAGACGTCTGACGTTTTTTTCTGGCTGGAAGACTATGATGTACATTTTGGGCGTGAAGAGACACACAAGGGCTACAGTCGCACTGAGACTAATGGAAATACACAAGGTTGTAATCTGTACCTATAATGGAAGAAAAAAAAGAATTACACATACAGGTTAGAATATTAAAAAAAAATTAATAAACCGGTTACTTGTATACAAAATATGATTTCAATATCTGTTTAGCAATTGCATCTTAATTCGTTATTGACGTGTTTCACTATAACAAGCATACTCGTATATTGCTCTTTCATTTGTTGCGTGTGAACATTAAATGTAAATATATTTTACAATATATGTGTATGCGTTAGAAATTTGTCTCAAAAGCACAAATAAAGGGATGATCCTAGATTTTAATTTAGAGAAGCACAAAATTTATAAAACACAATGTTAAGCAACAAAAAAAAGTTACAAGAAATCAAGCCTTTTTTGCTGTTTTTTTTGGGGGGGTGGGGGGGGGGGTGGGGGGTGGGGGTAGGGGTTGTTTTTGTACCAAAACAAATCATATATAGTTATTTACCAAGGTCGAAAACTTTTTTTGTCATCTCCTCGCCCAAAAGTTTGAGGAGATATAGTAATGCGCTTGATTGTGTGGGTGAGTGAATGCGTACGTATAACGGAAATTACGCAAGTAATAATTTCTATGTGTTCTTTTGCGAGGGATGCTCCGCTTTGCAGTGCCCCTGTTTTTATCCCCTCGCAACGAAGATGGTGAGGACATAGTAACGTGCTTGCGCATGTGTGTTTGGGGGGAGGGGATGAGTGAGTGAGTGCATACGGAAATGACACAAGCAATAATTAATCTCGGGATGCATGTTCTCTTTTGCGAGGGAATGCTCCGCTTTGCGGTGCCCTAGTTTGTTTGTTTGTTTTTGTTTTTTTTTTTTTTTTTTGTTTTTTTTTTTGTTGTTGTTGTTGTTGTTGTTGTTGTTTTTTATGCTTTGTTAGGGTTCAATTATCCTCTTATAAGAGGAGATAAATATCACTGAAATAAATATTAACTTTATTCCTTCATAAAATTTCTGTCAAATTTTGCCCTGTAAGGTATGCTGAAGTTGTGTGCATCTTAATTGAATAATTATTAGATTTCTTAAGCGTTAAATCAAAATTGTATACGGAAGACCTTACACAGATTCATTATTCCAAACCCTACAACTTTTACTAAAGAGCGCCGGGTATGCCTCCTTAAAACTCTCAACCGTAATGAAGTTTAAAGAATGTCGGTTCGTCCTACATGTATATGCTGCGAAGAATAATGGAATTGCTTTGTAAAGCCCACACGCGTTGCTACTTGGAACTTAATATGACCTTTGAATCTTGTCTCCCCTGAGCAAGATGAAAGATGCTTACAATCAATTTTCTAGATTTTAGTAAGAGACCTCACAACTAATACTAATCCATTTAAAGGTTAGTTGTTTAAGATCCACCAATTGTGAAAATCAAAGTCTTTCTCCTTTTTCTTTAACTCAATCATGTAATGCGAAGTTCAGAATGACTTAATGGTGTACCATTATAACAAAATCACGACTTTGAACGATAAAACTCACGTTTTGGGATAGCATTCGTTCCAGTCAGGAAATTATCATGTTAAAAACAAGATGTCTTTTCCAGCATTCTGTCAAATTTTATTTGAAAATAGTGCCCAGCAAATGAATCGAAATGTTTTTATTTTACATTCAAACTCTTTGCAGCAAATGAATCGATAAAAAAACATCATGAAAATAAGAATTTAGGTTTTACTTAACAAGAAAAACGAGGCAGTAAATCAATGACACGCGATTTCCATTTCCCAGTTTCTAACTTGAAGCAGGAAGTGATCCCACACCGTAAAAAACATTACGCTGTTCTAAGTGCTTGTGGTGGTTGATGTTAATTCTATTTACAAGGATAAAAACGATCCAAGGATTCTCCGTCATGTTAAGGCTACTCCACGGAATTCTCTCTGTTCGAACAGTATTGATATTACTCGACTAGTATTGATGTTGCTGTATTTGCGCATGTGCTTAAAAATACTCTCAAAAGTCAGAATATTTCAGATATATGATTTCTTGAAAGGATATATATTGTATATACTATAAGAACGCAAATTACATAATGCAATCTTGAAAAAAAAAATAATTAAATGGCATTTTTTAAAATAAGTAAGACGTTGCGCACGGTGTTGGTACTATAAAATCTGACTCTTTAGATGTCATAAAGAAACTGGCGTTTTCAAGATGATAAAGATACTAGAAATTAAAAATGAAATTAATTATTTTATCCAAGGTAATAAATTATTCTAAAAATTCTCTTTTTAATAATATAAAAATATCTTAGCTATGATATGGCTTTATTCATTATTGGTTATTACGGCGAAATCCCCGTGTCCAACGTTACATAAATTATTGTTCGCGCAACTACAAGATATAAAAAGATCCACTTCCAATCCTCTAAATTAAATAAAATTTAGGAAATACAATAATATGTTTGCATTCTTTGTGATATTGTTGAATTTTTAGCATCATTTTCTCAATTTCACGAGTTTGGGCTGTATCTACAGTGCGTAAGTAATATGTCCAACAGGAAAAAATCGTTTCCTAAAGTTGACATCAGCCCGCATGGCGATGTGTACTAGACATAAATGCCACACAAAGATAAATTTTGATGAATAATCTTTAAGTACATATGTTTCTTAAATTAGTTATGTTGATACATGCTATATAACTGCTGATACGTTAATATTAGTAAGGCTTTGTTAAGTGTAGCCATTTTGTTATGCACGTACGAGTCGCTGTACTATTACTTAATATGTCTCAGTTACATATCAAATATACATAAATTAATGTCATATATATACCAATCATTACTGTATCTTGAAAGAACATTACATACTGTATTAGATAATAACATAATTTTTACGGTTATCATCTACATGAAATAAACACAAGCATTAATATAGATGTAGCCATTTTGTCACAGGTACGAAAAACGTCATTTATACGAATGACGTCGGGAGCGTCAAATTGTATCGCCGTGCTCTTTTTTTTCCAATTTTCTGCAGGTCCGGAGTACCAAGTAGGGTAAAAGGTCCTTCTCCAATTATTTTAGAACAATCTTTTGTTTTAAATATTCTGAAAATTTTCATTCAAAGGCCGATACCCCCTTTTTATTTTGCTGCAGCAAATATCTAAACATATCACGTTATTGTTCTCTCTCTCTCTCTCTTTGCTAAAATGAGAATGAGAGCCCCCCCTCCCCCCCCTCCACGAAAAAGTTAAAAGGGTTTCTGAATTTTATTTTTGCTGGCTAGTTTTTTTTTCAATTTAGTAGGATTTTTAATAGCGAAACGTCCCCATCCCTTCTTTTTTGCATGTCAGTAACCCCCCCCCCCCCCGATTTATAAAGAGAGCTTAACTACTTGGGCTGAAGAAAAAAAAAAACAAGAAAAGTTTAATTCAGTATCAGGCCATTTAATTTTTTTTTTCAGTTTAGCGACCTCCTATAATTCTAGAACCTATCTACAGATTCACAAAAACATATCAGTACAAAAGCCAATATTAAAACAAGAACTTTATACCGGTTTTTCCCCTCTAAAGTCTTTTTCGGAAAACTGGCTCTTGAGTATAATTTCCCCTTCATCAGAAATCCCACACCACATTCAATTTTCCGGGGAAATCCCTACTCTGTGTAACTGTTATAAAGTGCGATTCCCTCAAGAGCCAACTTACCCCTTCTGCTATAAAATATCATGCCAGTACTTATATATGAGGGGGAGGGGGCGACATATGGTTACAAATGTACTTTCTGTAATTTTTTCACAGGTGCTCTCGCAGTAGACAATTTTAATGAAACTTCACAAAAATTGTAATAAAAAAGTCTAGTTGTGTCAACATTTAATTTAAAAAAAAAAACAACGAGGAATTTTATTTTTAATGGATTTTTTTTTCTCCAGTTATATTTCATAAAACTACATGTGCATAATATTGATTAAGTGTCTCGCCAAGTTTCTGGGGTTTAAAATAGCTATCGAGTATTACACCTCTGTGGTCGAGGGGTCATACCTATCCTACGGCTTGCAAGAGCAGTGCTTCTTGTATTGTATTTTTTTTTAACTACTAAAATTTCATACTAAAGGATGTTTTCGGCATAACAAAAGATTTGACCTATATATAGGAGAGAACAATTTCCTGAAAAAGTCACATTTAAAAATCAATGTTCTTTAGTTGTTTTCTATCGTATATTTGTCTAAATTTTTCAAATTTACATTTTGAACCTAATTTTTTTTATTTGCAACTTTGAAATTAACCTCCAAAGTTGGTCAAGACAGTAAATTATCCGTTAAAGCACTAATTTTTGCGTAAATTTTGGAATAGAAGTCCTTCATGGCAGGCCTACCCCTAATTTAAATTATGAAATTTTGATAGATTTTGATCTGAAGAATGATTTAAAACAAGATTTTTAGGGGCACCCCTGCCCTAGGGTCGAAATTCGTAAAAAAAAAAACCTACAAAAAGTGCGAAAACCTATTTCTATCATACTGGATTATATTTATGTCAGACGTATGTTCACATAGTCAGTATAGCTCAGAGAGACAGATCGTAGTCTCTCACCATGGACAATTTTAGCGTCCTGGTTCGAATCCACCTGTTGGAACACTTATTTTTTCAAATTTTTCACCTGTATAAACACGAATTTAATTTTTCATATAGGCTTTTTCATTTTACTTCTATTTTCTTCCTTAAATGTATATGCTTGCTGTTGATATAAAAGACATTTATGGAAATGCAGATCATAAATTCTCTTTAACTAAACGCAATCAACCGGAACTATACCTCAGTGTAAGCACACTTTGTTCAAGGACACGAATCATTCACTTTGTGTTACTCGATACTGCAGGTGTCACGAAAAAAAAAATCATGCAGAGCAAAAATTGCTGTGTTTGTCTTTCAAGAACATCTCTGGGTATAATAGTACTGTTGTGCCTTTGGGAGAGATACTGCGCTATGCAGAGTAGATGCAGTTCATTCCTAGACAAAAATGTGTGCATTGGCGACATGTTATGTCAAAATAGCAGGGGGAAGGTTTACAGATTAGAAAAGAAT